GATGTTGTGAGGAAAAAATAGTAATGCAAATAGTAATGCAAATATGAACAGTGGCTTTTTCTTTAGATAAGCTAAGTGTGCCATTTTGGCCAACAGGACTCAGTGTGCATTGACTCACTCAAAAATCATCTAGAGGATCATTTGTAGACCTGTGTGCAAAATTATGTATATGTATCTATAAAGTCCTATCAGATTTCCAAGCTACTGCAAATATCTGTAAGAACAAAACAAAATAGTTTGTAATCTCTGTTTTCTTTTTTGTTCTTTTTTTTTAGCATCACAGTGCCACTCTTCTTGAAAGCTGACAGCCTCCTCTGAGTGAATCCTGTGCAAATGCTCCAGATTTTGCTAGCCAGCTTGCTTTGGACAAGCCCAGACCTGATACTAGAAAAGATCTGCTGAGGTTTCTGGAGATAAGCTTCCTGAATAAAATAACCCTCTTTTAGTACCTATTTGTGCAAATGAGCTCCTTGTCAAGCATTGCCAAGACTATGCTGTAATCTTCACTGGCCATTAGGATGCTGAAAACCCTTGTATAAACATACTACAGAACTAAGTACATTTCTATTAGCAATAAAAGAAGGACTAAGAGAGCCTAGAAGCCAAAAGCCTAGTAGGCTGGTTGCTGCTGCTGAGACACGTATCTATCCTACGTATGCACCTACCTCAGAAAGCCGGAATGCTGATGTTCTCAACCCCACTGCTCTTGCAGAGCAGTGCTCATTGAGCAATGAAAAGTCCTCCTAAGATAATGAGAGCATAGAACACATTCCTTTAATTGGAAAATGTCTGTAATGTGCTTTTCTGCATCCCTCTGCCAGCGAGAGGGATTTTGATTGCGTGGATTACTGTTCTTGGACTACTCCTCGGGACTTGGCAGAGTCCTTTGGCAGGGTGGTACCTTGGACGCCAGCAAAGTGACAGAAATCCAGTGGAACTAAGCCCAGGAGTTCCTCCAAGCTGTCCCAGAGCCCAGCAGACATTGTGGTTACTGGATGGCTACAGCCATCCTGCTAAATAAAACAAGCACACAGAACGCGCCAGTAGACTGCCCCACTGACCATCAGCGTGACTTAACGGCTAGCACAACCCCTGGAGGCTGTGGCCGTGTCCAGGCCCAACTGCATGTGCCAGAGACCAATTCTACTAGACAGTAGAGACAGGGCTGCATCAGGTTTGTCTCCCTTTGAGAAAGGGTTTTCTTAGCCCTTAAGTAACCCTGTAGACCCTCATAGCACACACCAGATCATAACTTACATGCCCTCCGCGTTATCCTATGAAAACACCACTGAGATGGGGGCCAGCTTTGCATCATTTCAGGTACTTTGAACTGAGAATAAAACATACAAAAATTGTAACTGACTCAGAGCCATGGCATGTTACACGGGTCCGGGAGGAGACCCTGGGCCAAGTGCTGCCTGGCAAAACCACAGCCAATCCTTTAACCCTGCCAGAGAGGGAGGCCTGTCAGAGCTGTGTTAGTTTTGAGAGCTTGGGGGTGACCACCTCAGGACAAGCTGCACCGTGCCCCGTACGTCATGCCCCATCCATCAGGTCCTGTTAGGCATACATATAGCTGCCCTCCGTGGTCACTGGGACCCTCAGGTAGTTTGGGATGCTATACCGTACACCCAAGTCACTCCAGGTGACACATTTTGCTTGGGTTGGACCCCGTGGAGGTGTTGCCCTGCTGCTCGTTTATAACATGTTCTGCTGAAAGAACAAAGAGGTGAAAGTGCTTGCCACGTGCTGGCCCTGCCTTCTCCGACGGAGCTGCATTCGGCACAGCAGAGCCGAGGTGGGAGGCTCCTCCCGGCCACAGGGAGGGAGCAAACCTGACCTCCTCACGCTCGGCTTCGCAGCATGGGCAACGACACCGACACCGACACCGCTGGGACAGCCTTTCTCCTCAGGCTCGCCGAGCGGCTGGGACTGCGCACGACGTCTCGCCGCGCGAGGGCCTTCTCCCCCTTCCAGCCCTGCCACCTCCTCGGCGCTGACCACGGCTTGCTGGTGAGTGCGGCAGCAGCGGCACGGCACGCTCGCTAGCGGGACACATTTAATAATTCTTTTCACAGGAGGCAGCTTACAAATCCATAGTAAATCGGCTGCCAATTAACATAGGGAATTGCCTGAGGCGCATTATCCTCATTTACTCAAACGCTTTTAATTTCCAAGAATGCTCCCACGAAAGAAGAACCTGTCGCCCTGGAACGACAGTACAAGGCTGTGCTGCCCACTCTGTACTCTCATGTGCCGTCGGTGGGCAGTATAAATCCCTTCAAAAGCATTGATTTTAAAAAAGAAAGGGAAAAAAAAGGTATACTTAGTACAAAGCGCAATTTCCATTTGTGTAAAATGTATAACACTTATTTTACCATTTCAGCTAGCAGCAGATTTCAAGACTACGCTTTGTTTGTCACCAGCGTAAATAAGGAAATAGCATAAAAATAAATTTAAAATATAGCTTTAAAATAACTCAAAAAATAGTCTGGGTTTTTTTTTAAAGGTTTTGATCTGCTGCCCTTAGAAAACTTTGCTGAAATTTGCTCAGGATTTTAAAACACTTTCTCCCTAAGTAATTTCAACTCTCTCTTGAGATAAAATACTTAAAATAATTGGTTGGATTTTCAAATAATCAACTGAAATACACTGCTGATATTTTCCATTTGAAATTTTAGTACTGCTCTATAAGACATTTTTTTTGTTGTTTTTTTTCTTTTTGAAAGCAGCAAACTCTCTTCAGTGCCCAGAGCTTTGCAGGAAGATTGGCAGCAATATATATCATTTACCTCTTTTATAGGTACAAAATACCTTAACTATTTTTTAGAAAACAAACAGGTTTACTAAAATAGCTAGAAAGATTCTAAATACGATATTGCTGTGGCTCAAGTAGACTTAGATCAGTGTGACTTTACTGCATCTTTTTTTAAAACCATTGTGTATGAAGAGAAAATAAGACTTTGGACTTCCCCAGTCTGAATACACAGAATACACAGAAAAGTAAGCACCACAAGGATTTAGTACTCCTTGGATTGAAACAGTGGGCAAAGAGATTTGCTGGTATTTTATATTAAAGCATGTTTTGGTTAAATCTCGAGATTCAGTATTCTGAAGTTTTCCACATGCGCTATTTTGTCTTCTGGTGTGATATTATTATGAGAGATTACCGTTACTTAGCGTCTGCTTTGAAAGACGGTAAAGGAAAGGGCTCTTACTTCAAGAAAGTTTTAGTAAGAATAAAATGGTTACAACTTAAAGAGGAGTAAGGAACACTGAAAACTAAAGTACCATTCCCCTTTGCCTCTTAAGGGCCTGAAATGCCAACCATCGCAAACAGGATCACCACAGAAATGAGTCTGAATATTTGCAAGCTGTGTGCTTAATTTACAAGGTTCATGTTGGATCGCATCACCTGAAGCAAAATTATTCAGCATGTCCAGATTACAAAGTTTGAAAATGTTTCTTATTCGTTTATCCTATTGAGTCAGGAAATTAAGAAATTGAAATATTAAATTAAGGGATGCTAAGAAATTACTGAAGCAATTTATAAGACTGAACATCGCCGAAGAAAAGTTTTATTCTATTAGGCTTTAACTGAAATCAGTGCTGAAATCATTGGCAGTAAAAATACTTTAAGAAGATCTGGGAAAAAAATGCAGTGTGTAAAATTTCCAGAGTTCTTCAATTTTATATTCAAGCAATACAAAAATAAGATATTTTACTCATAGGTGATGTGATATGAAACAGCTGGTTTATCACATTATCAAATACTTCTGAATCCTGCAAAGCATTCTGACTAGGTACCACATTCAAAACAGCAATTCTACACATTTTCACTGAATCTGCTGGCCATTTCCATTCTAAAGTCTAAATATACAATTTGCAATGAATTCTAGGCAATGAATTCTTCATTTCTGGAGTTTTTAATTTGCATACATATTGATTTGACTAACATTTCTCATGGTTCTTGCTCTGTCCTGCATATGTTGACTTACATATTTCATGACAATATGCAATATTAAACTGAATAAATAATTTTTAAACAAGAACTAGGGTAATATTAAGACAACAACAACATTTCAGGAACAGTGACAAACAGCTAACCATTTTACTGTCTTTAAAGGAGCATGCTCCCATCTTGCTATGAACAGACGGGCATACAGTCCACTGAAGATGAAGTTAATTTACCAATTAAGTTATGATTAGATTTTGCAACTGTCTGCACGGAGCATTTTAGAAGCTAGATACATAAATCTATACCACAGGATTAGACACCTCCATAGGAGGCAGGTCTCTCAGTGGCTAGTTAATACAGCAGTCTGAAAGAGATCTCAAGACCCTGAATGCACAAATCTGTGGGAGAAAAATACTGTTCTTTCAGATTGCCCATGTTTAAGGCACTCATTCCTGGAGGCATTTGCCTGAGAAAGCACATGGTGCTAGAAAGAGCATTTGCTGATCGTGACCCCCAGTAGCTTCAAAATTGTAAAGTCATCTGAACAAATGTTAGAGTGGAGGAACGCCAGGTCCTTTTGGCTTTTGCAGATTTTGACCTGACTTTTCAGTGAGTCACCTGTTATATCTGTGATTTCAAAAAAGCCTATAGAGTTTATTTACAAAACTTCTCTCTCCAAGGCAGCCCTCCAGAAAGAGGATGCTGTCAAGCTAAGACCCACTGCAAAAGGCACCCACTTGCTTGTAACTGGAGAACGGGGACCCTTCTAGCTCCCTAATACGACACGAACAACAGAGCAGAGCCAGCTCTGCAGCCACTCAAAGGCCTTTTAAGGTTTGAGCCCAAACAGCTTGTGTGAAAGAAGCCAAGAGGGACGCCTGCAAGGATGCCCACAGCATGGATACATGGCACAGATGAAGGGAGAGGACTCTGGAATGCTAGACTTCCTGTATGGCATTTACACAAATGTGGCCACACTGCACTTTGATAGGTCTTTCTCACCACTTTTTTTTTATCCCTATTTTCCATTTGCAGAGGAAAAATGGCAGAAGATCAGTCACACATAAGCATTCAGATGTCCGACTCCAGCACAAACGGTAACCCAGGCGGACAGCAGCCCCCTCCAGACTCAGCCAGCAAAGGAGGGAGCACATTAACTTTCCACAACATCTGCTACCACGTGAAGATGAAGAACGGCTTCCTGTGTTGTAGAAAAACAGTTGATAAGGAGGTTTTGAGAGATATCAAGTAGGTATTTATACTTCTCTTTAGATTATACATGTTTTGTTTCTGTTCTTGACAAGTAAGACTACTGAAGTCAGTGAGCCACTCAGAACAACGTACAGAATTTGGTCAATTTTTAGAAAAAATATATACATATGGTTGCTGCAAATTAGCTGCCAGCTCCCTGATAGGCTCTTCTGGTGTGCACTGAAGGTTTCTGATGAGGTCCCCTGTGCTTGGTCCATAAAATGGCACTGAAGAGCACTAGGTGTTACAGTGAAAAATATACACAAATAAACGCGCTTCCTAAAGATCTGCAAAATCAAACTGACTGATGCTTTTTCTTGGCTAAAGAATATTATTGTACAGATCCTGTGAAACTTCTTACACGTGAATCAAGTTCAGAAAAAGTATTAAGGCCAGCTTCTTTAAATGCAGTCCATAGTATATTCTGCCTATAGTGAGCTGCTAAGAGAATAAAATTTTCCAATTGACTGTTTCACATCTAGAGATACTTTGGGGAAAAAGCCTGCACACAGGGCATCAGTCAGATTTACTACTTGCAAAAGGAATAGGATACAGCAGTTGGTTCTTCAAATAATCTTATCTAGGCTACCAGACGTAGCAGTAAGAGAAGATAGATAAATAAATAAATAAACTTTGTCTTACAGTGGCATTATGAGACCAGGACTGAACGCAATTTTGGGACCCACTGGCAGTGGGAAGTCTTCGTAAGTATTCTCTTTGCTGGCAAGAATGTGGTTTCACTTATATCTGTGCAAATCTTATTGATTTCTGCAAAATACATTCAAAAAGCAACTAACCTAAATGACAAATGAGTTGTTTTGTTTTTAATAAATGGTGTTCTGATACGCTGACTTTATACATTGCTCTAGGTAAATCAGAAAGTGTGTGTTACTAAAAGAGTCCTGGAGTCACAGTCATTACTTCTTAACTGAGTTAGCAAAGGTTATGGAGCAAATACTCATAAAAAAAAGTTCATTAGTGACCTCGTCACAGGAAAAGCTTCAGACAGAATCAGTGCTTTACTGGATACTTAAAGCTGCATTTGCGAAAGGAACTTTACTCTTTCATGTGTAATAGCTGAGCTTATGCTGTGTCCATAAGGCATTAATGGCATCCCTCTCCTTTTCTCGGGATTTTTAACATGTAATGGTTGTATGTAGCTCCTTATTTCATGGACTGGGTTTGGTGTTCAGGGCCCTCAACTCTTACTGCCTAATTTTAGAAACTGATTGACTTTTCTTCTAGTCTACTTGATATTTTGGCTGCAAGAAAAGATCCTGATGGGCTTTCAGGAGACATTTTGATAAATGGAGCTCCTCAGCCTGCCAACTTTAAATGCACCTCTGGATACGTAGTACAGGTATGTAATTTGATGTCTTCATGGTTTTTATTATCCCTTGATAACTGCAGTTGTAGGAGATAACAACTACTGTCGTAGCATTACAAGTAACTTGCCTTTATCAAAGAACCAAGGCCTGTGCATCTCTACATACACCTACCTTCATAAGGAAAGAGATTCCCTTTTGTATTTGCACCTCTATCCTTACTATCCTACAATAAACTGGAGGGGACCCTATGGATCCCTCTTAGAGGGATCCCCTCTTAAGAGGGGATCCTATGGGCCCCTCTTAGCAAAACCATCTCCCTATTCTTCACCTGTGGGACCAGGGGTCGGCTATCAACGTGCACAGAGTATTTTCCAGGCGTGACGCTTTCTCGTCACATACAGCTCGTGTCAGCTTGCCTGGGCATCATGCCACCCACTCTTGCTCTGGAAAATCTTTTTCTTTTCAAAAAAGAAGGGAGGGGATAGAGGAGAGAGAAGCGTGAAGGATAAAAGAAGGGAAACAACATCCTTCTCAGTGGATGAACACCAAGTATCTCCTTTTTGCTTTGGAAGGACGACGTGGTGATGGGAACGTTGACTGTAAGAGAAAATTTGAAGTTCTCGGCAGCACTCCGCTTGCCAAAGTCAGTGAAGGAACAGGAGAAGAACGAGCGAGTTAACCGGATCATCAAGGAGCTGGGCTTGAGCAAAGTGGCAGATTCCAAGGTAACAGCATGTGAACCTGCTGCTTAGCATGTGAACAAACAGTAAATGGTGCATGTAAATGGCTCAATGTGGCATGTATATAATGCAGAATTAAAGAGACTTTCAGTAGTTCAGGGATACATAAAACCTATATCACTGTCTATCCTTATGGACTCTGCTGTTAGCTCCATCACTACATTTTACATTTAGGACTACTTTAGAAAGTCACTCGTGGTTGGAAAAAGGAGAACAACTCAGGTGATATTAATGCTAAGGAGTGACCTCTACACGTGACAGCGCCAACTGAGACTAACACCTCTAAGTGAATCTGAGAGTGGGGTCAGAATCTCTCAGAACTCTTCCTGTTGGTAGGATGCTGCTCACTGAAGTAGTTTTACATCAGATCAAATGGCACAAGTTTCTTGTTCTATGTCAGGTTGGTACCCAGTTCACCCGTGGCGTGTCTGGAGGAGAGAGGAAGAGGACAAATATTGGGATGGAGCTTATTACAGATCCTCCTATCTTGTTTTTGGATGAGCCAACTACCGGCCTCGATGCCAGTACCGCTAACGCTGTCCTGCTGCTCCTCAAAAGGTGTTTGCCTCCGAATCAGCTTCCTATTTTCACCATTCAACTCTGCTAAATTTCAGTGGCATTTTACTTAAATTACTGTTAGACTGAAAAAACACAGACCAATGAGCCAAGACTGCACAGGCAGTAGAAAAAAAGGCTTTATGAATCACTCACCTCAAAGCAGCTACTCACATTATTACACCTAGTGTCTTGCTGGAAGCAGAAGCACACCAGGACTGTAAGTGATAGCTGGGTTCTTGGTTACCTCCATTATTGTAGGTGGCTAAAAAGAGATTAAAATGCCTCTTGTACAGCCTGGTAAGGAGATGGATTCTAATACTGAGGGTAGTTAACACACAACTAGCTTTTCCCTCCATCACAAAATCTCAGGACTCTTTGGCAAAACAAGTACAAACACTCTCTACTTGCAAGTTTTCTATCATTTTGCATTTCTTACAATCGAAGAGGGCTTAAATACCTCCCTCTCAGTGTCTGCCTTCTCTGCGTTTTCCAAGTTTTTGAATACAACCTTTTTCAAATTCCAACAAGATTCACAGCTAGAGTAAGCTTTCATGCAGACATTAAATATACAACTTAAATATTTGCTCTGCTTTTTTTTTTTCTTTCTCCCTTCCCTCCATTTTACACTAGCCTGTGCAACATAAGGCTTAATTGAACTTGTAAATTCTCCACTAAACTCTGAAAGGATTTGCAAAGCTGACCTCTCTGTTATTCTTCACTTCTACATCCAGGATGGCCAAACAAGGAAGAACAATCATCTTTTCCATTCACCAGCCTCGATACTCCATATTCCGACTGTTTGATAACCTTACCCTGTTGGCAGCAGGGAGGATGCTGTATCACGGGCCAGCTCAGAATGCCATGGAGTACTTCAGATCCCTTGGTAAGTTTTCATGGGTAACACGGGTCACAGCAGTGACAAGAGAAAAGATGATGTTTGGTATGCAGTAATTTGAAACTGTGCCTACAGCACCTGATCAGAATTGAATATAGTGTTAGCAAAGCTGAGATTTTAACAAGCTAAGTCAATGCCATCGCTGCAGGGTACGAGTGCGAGGCGTACAACAACCCTGCTGATTTCTTTCTGGACGTCATTAATGGCGACTCAACTGCTCTGGCAATGAGCGAGACGGATAAAGCTAATGCAGGTATGAATCACCGCGAGGATGTAATTCTCACAACACGTGTTTCGCCAGAACATATCCAGTGCAACACAGGTATCCCCTACAGGTATCCCACACACCAAGTGGCTGTGTTGTATGTATGTGCATTAAACAGTTATCTGTATGCATGCAAGTAGTATCTAGTGCTGAGCCATGAAAAGTAAGTTACTGTTTGTACCATCTGCTTTACAAAAAAAAAAAAAAGTTATTTTAGGGATAAAATAAAATAAAATAAACCCTCCACCCTAAATCCTTGTTTTTTGTATATGGAAAAGTTATGGTAACCTGAAATTATTGCTGAATTTACATACATCATTACTACATAAAATATTCCTAAATATGCGGTAATAGTTTGTTCACATAATGAGCTGAGTAATTAATTATCGCTATCTCTTCATGAACTGATCCATATATTTTTCTATCATGGTCAGATTACTGGATGTTAAAGATTATTTTACTGACTTGAGTAAAGAACACTAGGGAATTTAAGGAACTGTTGTATTTTGACTCCTTTCATCCTTATTGCAAATCAACTAAACGCCAATGTAAGCACAAATGATACATCAGGACAATGATTTTGGTTAGAGACAAAATATGACTTAGCTGTGCTTTCTGTATTTTACATAAGGAAATGGCTCATCTACTATGAAATTAAGCCAGCTGTCTGCCAGTTTTAATTGTAATCGGCACACAAGTGTTTACCAGTTCAGCCTGTTGTGAAGCCACTGTCTATGGGCAGGTTGCACATACAAAGAATTTCTCTCTTGCTTTTTGCTCTTACTTTGCTCTTATATAGTCTTTTGAATCACATGTTATGAGAGTGTAATGAACCACTTGAACTAAAGATGCATTATAATTCTTTTTATACATTAGTAACTCTGATGTAGCTCTTTCAGCATAACCCTTCAAGAATATTCCTGTGGACTCAGTGAAGTCAAACATTTATCTTTTCAGCAGACAACTCTGAAGAACGCATAGATTGTGGTAAATCTTTGGCAGAGAAGTTAGCAGAACAATACTCCAACTCCACCTACTACCAAGAAACAAAAGCGACACTAGAGAGTATTTCTTTGGGAAATCAGAAGAAAACCAAAGCAATTTTCAGGCAAATTACCTATGCCAATTCCTTCTGTCATCAGCTGAAATGGGTGACCAGGCGCGCATTTAAAAACCTGATTGGACACCCTGAAGCCTCCATAGCTCAGGTAACACGGTTTAGTCCATCAGTTTGTGATACACGGTGAGTTTACTCCACTCCTGTACCAGACAAGCCACTTGGGACAGTTTTGCCTCTTGGTATTTTAACTAAAACTAACATTTGAACTAAGAGAGTTAGAAACTATCCTTGATGGTCCCAGTTGAGCAGCACGATCAGGGCTCTGTGATTTTTTACCACTTAGCTATATCAGGAGCCAAGGTCTTTTTCAGTGGTAGATTCTGCTCCTGTGTTCCTTCCTCCCCACTCACAAGCAGGAGATGATCATGCAAGAACTTGTACACGTTTGCTGAGGAACTATCATTTCATTGTGCAGGCTTTGCAATGTGGCCTCAAAACTTTCCTGTGAAGGAAAGTTAACAGACTACACTTGCCCGTTTAACCTTCAGTACCCAATTAAGTGTGGCACTCGGCTCAAGTACATAGATATTTTCACAGTCTTGCAATGTGCCTGTTGTTTCTTCCCTTGGCTGTTCATAACGATTATGATATGCCTGGAAAATAGATGTCACACAAAACACCGCAGGTTCTACCCTATTTGCTAAGAAGATAAGCAGGTTATAAATGTTCGGCGCTGTTACTGCTGCTTTCTCAGAAAAATCAACAAAATGATTGTGACTTTCTTTAAAGTTTCATGTTGCCTTCAAAAATAAAGAAGGCCTGCCTGGCTTCTAAAGAATCACTAATCCCTACGAATCCCTGATTCATGGGCCAAATTCTGTTGTCTTAACAGCAGCAAAACTCCCACTGGAATTTTGAGCAACTCTGGGGAAGGCAACAAAAAGATAAGTGGTATAAATTTTCCACGTCGAGATTTATGTAGTAAATGAACAAAATGGTCAGCATGGAGAGGAAATGAGTGCAGAATCCCTCAAGTTCAAAGGCTTTGTGTAGATGTGTCTATATGTTGGTATTATGGAGATCCATAATAATTGCTTTGTAAAAGCTTGACCTTGTGACAAGAATTACACTCTCAAGGATCTTACAATCCCCCAAGGTTAACGGTCCTGACTTTTTTCTCACAATCTTTTCTATCTGCTCGCCCTCATTACGGAGGGATTTTACAGGCATTCTTGAAGTGGCGCACAGTTCATTAAGCCTCGTTTGTTAATCTGCTCCAAATTGGTCTTGATAGGATCCTTGCTTTCCACTACAATTGGCTTAGGGGCGGAATTACCCCTGACACTTGGTCCTTTCGGCAAGATCTTAGTGATTTAGTACCATGGATCAAGTGGTTCGTGGTGTTAAGACTCGGGCTTAAACCTGACAGAACTGCCTGATACCATTGATTTTCTGAGGTTTTTGTCATTCATACTTAGCCTTAGAAATTTGTGATGTACAGATTGCAGTCATTTAAATTATAAGCTCCAAGCTGCTGACATTTTTGCTATTTCAACTGTGATAGAGGCTGCAGCTATCAGTACACCTATTTTTTCATTCAGGTATCCTGGCTCATGTTAAACACAATCCCATGGATACCACTTGCAATAGCATCCAGCACTCAGCATGATGACATGTGAAGATAACCCTTCACCACGCACTCAGGAAAGCTTGCTCTCATTTTTAGGTGCCAAGCTCAAAGTAGCATTTAGGCGGGTTCATAGTGAAACCCACAGCAAGAACTGCACTGAAGTTTCCCTCCTTTCTGAATTTCCTTCTGGTACCTTGCCTATGCTTGCTGCAGAACTTGCTGGCTGCTGCCATGGGCAAGAATCCTGAATATATTTCCTGTTAATCTGTACTTACCATATGAATATTTCAAAATAATTATTGAAGCTCTGAAATGTAAAAGCAATGAAGATGACATTTTTTTTTCTTTTTTTTTTTTTTAATTTAGCTCTGTATTGCAGTTTTCCTGGGACTTGTCATAGGTGCCATTTTCTTTGGAGTAAAAGATGACTACACTGGTATACAAAACAGGTTAGCCAGTTTAGGTACTTGATATCTAAAGATTTGATGAAATGTTCTCATTATGGTGATAAGACACTGAAAAAAATACGAAAGCCAAGAAGAAACCATTAAGCTCTTTATCACTACCCCTTTAAAGCAAACGCCTCTCTTCAAATTAGGAAATATGGTCCAGCCAATTTAATGGTGAATATTTCATTGTACCTATTGGAACTTCTCTGCGGAGTTGAGATACCAGGATCCAGCCCTGACCTCTTATGTTTTAATTCAGACAAGCAGTCAAAGTGAAGTGAGCTGTGCTACATGTATAGGATGGTATTTTTCAGTGCCCGTCAGATCACTAAAAATGTTGAACAGCACAAATCATACTCAAAATGCTTACTTCAGCATTGCATCATTTTCACTTAGTTTCTGCAAGTCTCCCCCAAGATAAAAAGATTAAAGATAAACATATATAAACCTGACTACTTAAACTTGGGTAGCTAAAGCTTTGATCTTGCAACTGCTTCTACAGTGGCCAAAAGGTAGTAAGCCCAAAGGTGTGTATAAAGCTGGAGTTTTAAGTGCTTCTGTACTAAATATGCTTTTGATGCCTTTTGAGTTCATAGCCTTACAAATGGGTTTGCAGCTAAGAAAGCTCCAGGTTCTCAAAGTTAAAACACTACGTAGTATTTAGTTAAAAATGAGCCAATTTTAAATTGGATATGGTTGGTTCAGTCAATAAATGCCATATTGTAAAAGCTACTGATTAAATCACATTTTTAATTCAGGTTACTGTTTTGGTTTTTGTAGAGTTGGTGCACTGTTCTTTCTGACCACCGACCAGTGTTTCACCAGCATTTCAGCTATTGAACTCTTCATTGTGGAAAAAAAGATATTTATGTAAGTAAAACATCCAAAAGGGTGAACATTATCCACTGTTAGATTTAATCTGGATGCTTGTCTTCTTCCTGCTGCATTTAAGTATGCCTAATGCAGAGCTTTCAAATTCTTTCATTGGTACTGCTCACTGCAAATGTATTATTTCAGCCTCTTAGTGGATTGTTTGCATATCCACTCAAAAATGGTATCTATGACTGAGAGTAGCTCAGAGCTTTGACTTATTAACATATATAGGAAAAAAAAAACCCTGAAAACACAATTAAGTATTGATTAGTAACTTTGCGACTTGACACTGAAGTTAGTTAATAGTGTCTAAATTGATTCTTTAAAGTGGTACAGATTACACTATATAGAAAACTAATTTAATAAATTAACTCTATTTTGATTATACAAAAATTTACTGAAAATCATGTGCATGGCTATGTTCATTTGCACCTAAAAATACTACCATATTATAGTATTTCAATGAATATTTCCATTACATCCTAGGCATAAAGGACCTCTTTATTTTTTCAAATTTAAGCTGGCTTGGTGACAGTAATTTTACTGATTTTTTTAATGATTAAATTTGTAATATGCTGCATATATCTGTGTTCCAGACATGAATATATCAGTGGGTACTACAGAATATCTGTATATTTCCTCTCAAAGCTGATGGCTGATTTAATACCCATAAGGACATTACCAAGTATCATCTTCACCTGTATAACTTATTTCATGCTAGGTAAGTATTGTCTTCTTAAGTGCCATTAACCTTCCCCCATAAGAACAGTACTGAAATAAATCAAATCCCCAATGCGCTCACACATGTACAAATATGTGTGTGTATGTTTGTGTGCACGAATGGGATATATACATATACATATATATATATATATGTATTTTCTCCACACTCTCTGATCAGTGTGGCAGTGGTTATCGTGCTTGCTGGGTGGAAGTCTCAGTTGCTTTTAACATATTATCCAAATTACAGAATAGATGCACTTTTGAAGTATGGGGGACAACTATAATTTCTCTTGGAACGAGTGTTCCAAGTCTCTCGGCACTCAGGGGTCTCAATGGCATAGCCTACGTTGCCCAAATGAACATGTATGCAGGATGCACCATTTATTTTTGGTTATGGTACAGTTTTTGCTAGGGTCATACTGAAAACCTCCTTTTTTTCTCATCTTTAAGGTTTGAAACCAAAAGTAGAAGCCTTCTTTATAATGATGTTTACCCTTATGATGGTGTCCTATACAGCCACTTCTATGGCACTAGCCATTGCAACAGGACATAGCACGGTCTCTTTGGCAAACCTACTGATGACCATTACATTTGTTTTTATGATGGTGAGTAGCATTTTTTTTGCATTTTTTCTAATCAGAAATCCTAGCAGTTACAGAGTTCAGCTCCAATCTGAGGTCTGACTTCTGCCCAAAAGACCGTGGTGTTGAGTATGTTATACTCTGATTTGTTCCCCCAAAGAACTTGAACCTGGGTTTGCAGGCCTAGGTTTGATTGGGAAGGAGAATGACTTCTGTGCTGCGTTCTCAGTGAGTGGCAAACCTGAGAACTCCCCTTGAGCTTTACCAAAACCAAATTTGGGTAGCTGAGAATATGACCATGCTCCTGCATTCTGAGACCGTTACTTTACCCGTTCTCTTCAGACACAGACAACATCCTTAGCACTTAAGGGAGAGACTAACACAAGAGTTAGAGACTAATACATGTAACAGCATATATCTTTTTTTAATCTACCTCTTCTTACCTTGTTTTCACTGCCGCTAGCTTTTCTCTGGGTTGCTGGTGAATCTAACAAGCATCATGTCCTGGCTGTCCTGGCTCAAATATTTTAGCATTCCTCAATATGGAATGACAGTAAGTGCTCTATTTTCCTGTGTACTGAGTTGAAAAAGATTTGTTAGTAAGGAAAGTCTTCACTTACTTACATTAAACAAAAGTTTAGTGGATTAATGAGAAGGATAATTTAATTAGATATAGCAACCTTCAAATTTAGTGACATAGTTTGAAAGGAAAAAAAAGGCTTCTCATGAGTTAGCATCCACTGCTGATTAAAAAGCTAATTTCTGTAACATAAAAACAATTCATATGAGGGAGTCATGCCAAGGTAAATAACTAGTGTCTTCTTCTGCCCACCAGAACAAAAGTTGATAAAAATGCCTCAGAATAAGGAACAGTACCATCATACAAAAAAGTGGTTTGTTTTCTTTGCCATCAATTGCACAAAAGCATATCACCTTACAATTTTTCTTGTATTTTTTGATAGTTCAAGTTAATGATGATGTCTCATAGAACAATTTGGGCTTGAATGTTCCTGTATAGCATAATCTAATCTATTATAATCTAATCTACTGCTAAAGCATAAAGACACTCATGCATTGTGTGGACTGCATATATTCTCCTCTTAGAAGAAAATGAGCAATGCTTCTGCGTTAAAAAATGTGGATTTGTCCAAGATAATAAGTAGTAATGCCATCACATTTTTAGGATATATTTGGTTGGTATTATCTCATTTTATTGATTTATGATTCCTTTCCTACTAACGTCTGTTGCCACTGTTTATTTTATTTTAAAAGGCTTTACAAATTAATGAATTGACTGGTCTGAACTTTTGCAACAGCAGTAGCACCACAAATGTGAGTGCTAATTGTCCACAGATGAGCCAGACGTAAGTACTTTGGTCTATTAAAATGAATCCCTTCACAAATGACTTACCAAACCTTTGAGTATTAGTCTGTGAAATATTCACTGATCACCAGCAAATTCTGTTAAAAGTTTTTATATTTTAAAATAGTATTTTACTGGATCTTTGCATTCTGTCTGCAAAGAGCAGGTTACATAGTTATTATCAATTGTTATTATTCATAACAATTTAGAAATATTTTTATTACATATTTCACATTTTTAACTGTTTTCTGAAACCTCCCCTGTTCCCCGCGGCAATCACAAAGCCTTGTAAAATTAATTTCAACTCACACTACAGCTTCTAGGGAACTTCCTAACTACCTAAAATGAATCACCTTTATAAATCTGTTTGCATTGCTCTGCAGGTGGTGTACAGGAGAGGAGTATTTGAAAAATCAAGGCATTGATGCAAGTACTTGGGGTCTGTGGCAGAATCATCTGGCTCTGGCATGCATGACAGTAATATTCCTTATAATTTCATACGTGAAATTACACTTGATGAAGAAGTTTTCGTAAAAACAGACCTAATAATGTAATTCACAGTGTTCGATAAACTGACTTATTTTGAGAGACTTTCCTTTGTACTTTTGTTTCTGATTTCATAATTCAAAATGTATGACTCTAGTATAGCATTAAATGCTTAGTACTAAGGTACTTTGCTGAAATATCCAGCATTCCTCAATTGGCTTGACTGCTATAAAAAGTGTACTACACTCTTAATTTCTTCAAGACTAATCATCATAGTCTTTCTGCATATTCTAGTTACAGATTTAAGAACCAAAACTGACACTTGATGGCTTAGCCTGGGAAAAAATGGTCCCATAATTTTATTAGCACCTACATTTACTAACAAGTGATTCATCCCAAGTAGGAGGAGATCAGCAGTGACACGGACAGTGCTGAGACCCCTAGACCTGCACCTAGGCAGTACAGAGCAGCACTGGCACAAGGAGGCATCAACAGGACCCAGTGGTGGCGTTCCTCCTCTCTGCCCTTCTGCTCTCTACTGTTGTCCTGCTCAGATGTCCATACAAGTCCATTTCAAGGACTCCAGTAATCTGGAGATCATCAAACAGCTAGTAGTTAGCCCCAAACCTAAATTATCTACAATGTGAAAATGCATAATAAAAGGTGCCTCTCAAGCGTTAGGTCTTCTTCCTACCTTTCTTCAGGAAGCTAGAGGTTTCCATGTTTGGATAGACTCCTACATTACTAAAGATGATAGACTACCTGCAAGAATAACTAGTATTGACAAGTCACAAACAAACCACAGCTCCTGTCCTGCAGTTGGCAGTGACAGAGATGTCCTCTGTTTCCCAGGTCCCGTCTTTTTTCTATTCAGGGAACTATAACTACTTTTAGGTGTGTTTGACTGATGTCACCAAGTTTTTCTTGCCAAGACAGAGTACTGGAAATACTGCCTGTTAAATAAAAGTCGCGTTGCACTTTTTTTCATCTGCCAATTTGTATAATCCATTGTATTTGTTCTTTCTTGAAGTTTTCACTTATTCTGAGTAATTGCAACTAATCTTTTTTTTTTCTGGATGCTCTGTTATTGCCGCTATAGGGCATTATTGTTTTTTAAAGTTGACTGACCTTATATACAGATTTAATTGAGATGGTGTTATTTATAACAATTTATTCATTACAATAACTCTTTCATGATAGCCTAAATTTTCCCCTCTGAAGCTGAGATTAGCTGTCAATGAGTTACATCCCTCTTCACTTGTAACCCTTCACATATACCTTTGCACTTTTAGTATTTATCTAGCTGCCCTATTCAAGTCACAGCTCTATTTCCTGTATTAAAATTAGCTGGATTTTAAAGACGTGTTACTCCGTGACCTTCTCGGCAATTGCTGTATTCTAAAGCAAGTACTTAAGGGGGAACATTGCAGACCATCTGGCTGTTATTCACAAACTCAAAATACCATGCCACAAGAATATGGCTATAGTGCACGTTCAACGAGCCTCATGCCAAGTGCCAGGGAGACCTTCCTTAACAGTGTGTTGCTTTTCTCACCGTGCTGGACGCCTGCACGTATTCCACCCCTTCTGGGTGCTGCTACTGCACCACGAAGACGAATCCTCTGCCGTTTTTAATACCCCAAGCTCCGGCGATTGAGGCATGAGAGCAGGACAAAGCACAGCATCTGCACAACAGACGCGGTAAAGCCCCAACGGCGCAGCGAGCAGCACACCATGTGCTGAGAGACCTCCGCACTTTGTCACCGAGTCTCCTTACGCTTAGCAACTCACTTGGCTCTCCCTGGCTTACTGACTGCAGCAAAACGGTTTCTGGGGCACTTTGAGATTTAGTAAGTAACCAGCGACCCTCTCAGAGAGACCCTTCGCGGGGTCCCTGCCCTCCCGCGGCGCGAGGGGAGCCCTAAACGACAAACAGAAACGCGGCGCCACACAAGCACATTGCCACCCCGCCCGGCGGCCGTTAGCCAG